ACGGAAGGATATTTTGTAAGGTGGTCATCCGAAGCTTTTTAGGTTTGATGTACCTGTTAACGTCTTGCAAGTCCAGGATAGGATGAAGACCACCGTCCCGTTTAGGGACCGTAAAATATCTGGAATAGAATCCCTGCAACCCTTCAGAGCGAGAGAGTTGTCGAATCGCTCCTTTACGAAGCAGCTGGTAGACTTCATCGCATAGCACCAAAGAGCAAGGTGTAAATCGGATCGGGCTTGACGGAGGAACGATGTTGAATTCTATCCTATATCTGAGCTGAATGATGGACAACAACCACCTATCAGATGTAATGGACTCCCAAATGGGGAGCTGGCTTTGGAGCCGGCCCCCAAAAGGGAGAGGGGAAGGTGGGGAGTGGAGAGATGGAATGGTCCGCCCGGACCGTCAGCGTTGACGCTTCTCAGTATCAAAACGCCGATGGCCCTGCGAGAAGCATTGTTGTGGCTGTTGCCTTCTACGTTGTTGTCTCTGCTGATACTGCTGCCGAGGTTGGTACTGTTGACGGCTGGAGGGTCGGGACCATGACCATTTACGTTTCTGCTGTGGAAGCTCCATGCGATGTGCTGTCATGCGTGATTCGTGGATCAACTTGAGCTTATGGTCGGTCTTCGCATGAAACAGTCCGGTACCATCAAACGGCATCTCTTCTATTCTTCTCTTCATTTCTTCAGGGAAATTACAATTTCTCAGCCACGCATGCTGCCAAAGAGAAATGGCATTGACCAGGGCCCTAGAATTAGTGCCCACATGATGCCTTGCAGTAGAAAGTTGTTGAATGGCCACTTGCATTGCCTCCTTTATAAACACTCTGGCCAGGTCCGCTTGATGGTCCGGAAGGGAAGAAGTGACGTTCTCCAGCTTTTGCATTATGAAGTACTGGTAAAGCGCTAGCGTCGCTTCATAAGCTGATATGCGGAGGCTGAGTCCAGAGGCCGCACAGACCCAGCGCGCAAGCATATCGATTTTCCTCCCTTCCTTATCACGAGGGGCTGTGTGACCCCACGACTCCCTGCCCTGGGAGGACTCAACCTCCACTGAGTTCGGTTTCAGGTGACGTAGTAGGAATGGTATGTCTTCCTCCTAAACCCAGTACATGGCTTCGTATCGACGAGACGTAGCCTGTGGTTGAGCCGGTTGGTCCCAGGGCTGGACCATTGCTTGGCGGAGCGTGGTAATGAGCGACAAGGCTATGGCTGCAGACTGCTCGCCCCGGACGATGTCATAAAATCTATCGATGCTGGGACTGGGGTGATGGTGGGCCTCGATCTCCAGCGACCGAACCAGGTGAGAGATGAGCTCCGCGAAGGTCACATGGGGCTCGTCCGGGGACCCAGGGCCCTGGGAGGTAATGGCCACATTGGGAGATGTGGAGTCCACCTCCGACTCATCCAAGTCTTCCTGATAGCGGTAATGCTCGCTGGAAGAAGAGGACTCCAGAGATGTTGGGCGCCTCCTCTCTGCACGCCCCGACGTGGACGGCGCCTCCCTTGGGACCGGTGGTGACTGACGGTCCCATGGGTAGTAGCCAAACGAGTGGTATTCACCCCAACCTGTGAAACCACCGTTTCCAGGCATTGGCCAGTCATCAGCTTGACGGTCAGCGGAACGGCTTTAATGTCTAGGTGGCAACAAAGAGTCCGCAGGTAGTTCGGCTGTAGGCATCAGGGTTGGAGAAGATAGACTCCCTAAGATGCTCCCTAAGCATCTGAGATAGACTCCCTAAGCGGCGCCTCCAGTTGTTGAGGAGACATGCTCTCGGGCTGAACAACTTGCCTGGGGCATCCAGGCGGAGTCACCTGCATTGCCGACTGCAGGGCCAGTCCCGAGGGAGTCGGTACCGTAGCAGCAGTCGGTACCAAGAATCCCAATGAACCCGAACCCCGGTGTTTGGGGTGGTCGGGTTTTTTGCTTTTACAAGCCGGCTTGTCCGCCTTGTCCTTCCTCGGCTTTTTGTGACCGGAGGACTTATCAGATCCAGTATGCTTACGCTTCTCCCGTTGCTTGGTCGGGGGAGAAGGTAGCTGTTGGGCCTCCACTGAAGTAGCGCCTTTGTCCGAAGGACGCTGTGGAAGTGCGGCAGAGGCCAAAGCAGGGCACTTCGAGGGCGCAGCCGAGGCAGAGGTGGAGCGCTGAGGAGGCGCAGTCAAAGAGGAGCCAGGCTTTAAGACCAACTGGTCTGATTGCATCAAGGCCTGGTCCCAGAGTAGCTTACGGAGACGGTTCTCCCTATTTTTTCTGGCCTGCTTGGCCAAGGCAGAGAAGGCATAGATCATGCGGGTCCACTGGGGACATCTTGGAGCTGCACTGGATACATTTGTGAAATGCCGCTCGCCGCGCCATTGAGAAAAGGAAGAAAAAGAGGATAGTGCAGAGGGTAAAGTTAAAATATTTTTGGATTTGTTTTTTTTTTTTTTTGAAAGAAAGATTTTGAAACGGGTAAGAGAAAAAACTTGGAATATAACAAGATAGAGTTTATAAGAACTGTAGAACGAACAACAAACAACAAGGCAAAATCTAAGCAAGAGACGAACAGGCACGAGGCACAGTGAATGGCAGTCGCAAAGACTAAGTAAAATGGCGGACACTCCGCTCTATTTATACTATGCAGGGGGAGGGGAACGGAGTTTTCCCGGCAAAAACCATTAGCTTTCTAATCTTCCGGCCTAGGCACTGCGCAGGCGCAGCACCCGTATGTGTGATGCACAGAGGCCACGATGAAGAACTTTGGCATAACAAAACAAAAGAGCTTTTGTTATTACCATCCTGGCTACCTCTGCCAATCTCCCCACCAGGGGAGGTTCCCAGAAGAGATGGCTCAAAGGAGCTTGCACGCACACTGCTGTGTTCCCTCCCTTGGCCATACTCCTTGCAAGCCCAGTACAGTGGGGCCTTCATGCCTGAGGTAGGTACAAGCCTCTGCTTGCAGAAATGCGCCATCACTCCGGCACCTTCAAGTGGGGAAGAGGCCTTGGCAGGCCAGGCAGAAATACTCATTATTAGTTCCCTATGCATTATTATTATTAGCACCTGTGTAAATAATCAGTATACTCCTATGTTATGATTATATAACTATGCACTATACTTTGAATCATGTAAGGTATATAAGTTTGCCATTTTTCTCTGCGCTCTTGTTCAGACTTTTCGAGGTAACCCTTGGTGGCCATCCATTCCAGCTGATTGGAGGTTCCCCTGCATGCTATCCATGCTGCATGCTGTGAGTGTTTAGCTGCTAAAACCTGAAACCTAACTAGTGTTTGGTGTCTTGTAGAAGAATAAACTGTTTTGATCATTGCAGGACGTTAGGCTGTTTGGCCAAGTTTGCTATGATGTTGCAGAACTTAAAATTGTTTTGGTAGTCACCAGTACTTAGATATGTTTTGATTGTTGCAGAACATAAACCTGTTTTGATTGTCACCAAGACATTATATTGGATCATTGTCTAGTTAATGAGGCTGCTGGGTGGTGTCACTGAACAATGCCCAGCCTTTAGTTGGCAAACCTGGAGGTGGTACATCACTTCCTAGGAATCAAAAGACCTGTCTCACCCATAGCCAGGGCTTGGGGTGATACACATGCTTGGCCATAGACTCTAGATCCTGCAAGAGAAGTAAGTGGTCACACTGGTTGGGGGAAATGATTGCAAAAGGCTAGGGAGGGAGAGTGGAGCGAGCACCTTGAGGACTGGTTGATTGGAGGGAGGCTTACTGAACCTCTGAACAAAAAGTGAGGCAAGTAAGCCAGCAGAAATGCCAATGAGAATGAACACCAGAACAAAAATCAGAGAGAATTAAAGGACTGAAAGAGCAATGCATCCTTGTCTGAAAAGCACAGGGAAAGACACAAAGTGACGGTTACACAAAGGTGGCCAAAGAAAGCAAAATGCATTGGAATGAAAAGCAGGAACTCAAGACAGTCAAGTAAAAAAATTATTTTGCTCATATGCTAACACTAATACAAGGACGGAGTTCAAGAAAGCAGACCGCAAGGTGAGGCTGTAGCATCCTTTCTCATAGGGTCCAAGCTACATGGCATAGAGAACAGGAAGATTCGTGGATAATAAGGCTATCAATGGCTACTAGTCAGAAAGGCCTCACAGTACCTCCAGCACTTGGAACAAAATGCTTTTGTGTGCCAGTTACTGGCTGCATAGGTAGGAGGATGCTGCCATCAGTGCTCATGCCCTGCTTATGAGTCTCTCTTGGGCAGCTGGTTGGCCACTGCGTGAACAGACATCTGGGCTAGGTAGGCCTTTGGTCTCATCAGAAATGTCCTTTTTATGGGCTTAAGATTCTGTATGCTACTAGAAAGAAGGATGTAAGCAAGCAGGGGAACTGTTGGAGTAATTAAAACACACAGGCAAAACAGTGATACAAGTCTACATATCAAGCTTGAAACTAGCCTGACCTACAAACCCTGTCTGTCTGTCTGTCTGTCTGTCTCTCTCTCTCTCTCTCTCTCTCACACACACACACACACACACATATACTGATACATAAACAGAAGGAGAGGAAGGAGGGCAGGAAAGACTGAATCACACTCACCACAATCCCTCAGAAATGTTTTACTTGCAAATTAAAAAGATTGAAAGACAAGAGGTACATAAGTTGCCCTACTGGGAAAGGAGATCTGAAAGGACGCAATTATGTTATTCTGACAAGAGGCCACTTGACCTATGCAATTACCTAGTTCTAGTAGCATTCATTCTGCTGTTCAGATAAATGCTCATCTGTCAAAAGGCTTGCACTACTGGAGCTTATGGGAGAATTGTTCACATTTCTCTGGAAATGTTCTAGCGTAGTGTTTAATCTGTAATGTTCTCACTAGGTCACTCGAAGAACAGTATACCTTACATTTTGCTGCAAAGATGTTCAACTTTAGAACATTATATTATGCTACTAACATAAGCACTGGAATGTTAATTGTTCAAGAACACTGATTAAAGCAACATCTCTTTAAATCTAAAGTGAAATGGAATCACCTCCAGTGACTTGTCCTTCCGCAGGATCTTCAAAACAACTTCCAAAATATTGAGTTTGTTAATCACCACAGCATCAAAAAGAGCATTTAAACCCTAAAAGGACAGGAGTTAAAAAGGATGAAAGAGGGCAAGGATGATGGAAGGAGATGCATTTTTTAAAAATACTGATTTTAATTAGAAATGTGAAATGTCCTGAAATTTTGAAGCCACGGGGAAAAGGTAGACATGGAGCAAAGGAATAAAAGATATACAATACTAACTTTCTCATCAAAACTAAACTTATTTTACTGTTCTAACAGCATGAAAGGTTTATTTATAACAACATATAAAACTGTGCCATTTGCCATAATTATGCAATTTACAGAGCAATTTTATTAAGTGTTTTTAGGCCACCTTTTAAGACAGGAGTGGGCAACATGGCTCTCCAGATACACTGGTCTATAATTCCCATAAACGTTCATTATGCTGATTAGGGCTGCTGGGAGTTGTAATCTAAACCTCTGGAAGGCTGCACATTGCCCACCCTTGTTTTAGGGAAAGCATAAAAAAGATCCTATGCACATTCACCCAGAAATAAGGCCCACTCTGTTTAGTGGCGTATAGTCTTAGGTAAGCATGCAAAAGACGACAGTCTCAAAAGTATAATGGCCTTGCAGTGCAATCATAGACATACCTACTCCCATAGTGTGCCTTCTTGTAATTTTAAAAGGAAAAAAAACACTGAAAATGAAACCCACACATAAACAAAATGAAGTGCATGATTTAGACAGAAACATCCTCATATGATCACAATATATGATCTCTTTATAACACACTGAAAACACTGACCTCGACCAGTATGCATAGAAATTAGTATACTGTAATGTTGTAGCCTGTCTTGTATGTAAAAAAACGAAAAGCAAAATTTCATCCTGCACATTTTGATTCAGTCAAACATGGTCTAAAAGAGCCCTGTTGTGAACTGCTGAGAGGCTGCTGGGCAGTATATAGGAAAAATTAGTAATGGTAATTCCAAAAGATGCAATATTTCACAGGATTTTTTTGCCAGTGCCCCCAAATTTCTAATTTTTCTTTTGGAAGCACTGAAACACATCTCTAGAAAACCCCTCTCTGAACCCAATTCTTCCATGTTTTGTTCTTGGGCCTTGAAATCTCTGTTCATAACTGCATTTCAGTATTAAGTGTGAATCTGTGCAAGTCACCAGGTTTCATTTCCGATTACCTCAGCTATGGTTTGGGTGCTTGTCAATCAACTGTGTTTACATGATCCCACTTCTCTCTCCTCATTCCTCTGTGAAAGGAAGTTCGTTAATGCTTCCCCTCCACTTTAGAGCACATCTTGGTACAAACTTGGGATGGTAAGCCACAATTTGGTGCTAGTTTGTTTAAACTGCATTTGATTAGAACAACCAGTTTTCTGAGTTTGTTCATACTGCAGAACTGTCATTTGCTCTAAGGAGATGATGGGAAGAGGACCCCAAGAATAACTTTAACAAATGTCTAATTACCAAACCATTACCAAGAAGATAACAAACTACAGTAGAGTTTGAATGGCTCCAATATAACCAATAACTTAGCATTTAAGTAAGCTTTGCATAGTTGCTAAGAGCAACCTGACATATCATGCATCTGTTACATGAAGGACAGTCTTGTGATCCATGTCAAGGGACTTATCATATTAATTCCTTACAGTGGCAATAGCTTGCCCCAGCAGATTTGCTGGCAGACTGGTTCTGTACAGTCTGTATAATCTTCAATAACACTAAAAGAAAGCTACGTAATTAAATCAGAAGCACTACACCTTTGAACTTGTCACAAAAATTCAAGAGTTTACCACAGAAACCAGTGAACAAAAAGGCAGTTATCAGGACTGTTGTTATCATTTGATATAAGAAAGAGTATCACCATTTCCAGAAAGGAAAGCCTGAATGATATAAAAAGCCTCAGAAAAGTTGTATATTGCACACAAGGAGATTTTATTAAACACTGAAATAAGTTTAGAAAATAAAAACCATCAACATTTACCTTATAAAAGAACCCTTACCAGTATTGTAATTCCTTGTTCTTTGCACAGCATGGCCATAGCACCTAGGAAAACGCTCCACAAGACCCACACTATAGAAAAATGTGATCCTTCTTTACCTATCAGTTTTAAAACAGGATATAGAGAAAAGAAACTTGACAACATGTACAAGTATTGAAAGAACCAGCATGGGTCCAAGGTGGAAAGGTTTTTCAGAATAAGCTTTGTCATTTGTGTTCTTCGCCAAGTACTTTTGGAATATACAAGCTAGAGAAAATCTGGAATTGTTTTTCTTGTCTGAAATTTTCAGTTGGACAGAGTTATGCAGACATCTCCATTCTGTTCAGAAATTATTGCCCAATATTAATATGCGATAAATTCTGTTTGTAAAGTTTAAGCATCTATAGCAGCTTACACTGCTCCCCTCAAAGAGGTGTATTTTTACAGAGTGATGCATAAGATGTAACTAAGATGCTAGAGAAACACACATCCATGCTAAATGGGAACACTGAAGACACTCAGCTCATTATAATCAAGGTTTGATAATAAAAGATTTTGTGTACTTATAATCCTTGTGCATGCACCCCAAGAACAGTCATCATGGAAAGTTATCAGAGCACTATGCATACTCCAGTACTGCCAAATAATCAATGTAGGTTTTGAATTTCAATCAATTAGCATTGAAAATGTAAAGCACTGAACAAGTGCTAATTATTACTCCAAAGATACACATGTGCCAAGTGTGCTAATCAACTTAATGAAGCGCACTCCTTGCAACTATGTTGCTTTTCCCACCACAATCTCCTGTCAGAGAATGGAACTCATTCCTGGTTGGCACCAGAACCTAGTTTAAACTGGTGTACCATATTGTGGGAACGCACTCTGCCACCCTCACCAGATGGTCACAAGTTTAATGTATGCCAAGGATCTGTAGCATTCCTGTTCCAAAAGCTGAATGCCCACAAGTGTTTCTGTCATTTTATATAAGAGAATCTAGTTTACAGAACTAGACTGAATTCATACTGTGAAACTGTGCAACTTGTACCTTCATTTTATGCTCCAATGAAGTCATCTTGGGATGAAAGTCTATTTGGGTTGCGGGCTTGGCTGAACATCAGAGGAAGACGGGAAGCTGCCTTCTACTGAGAGCACTGGCCCGGCTAGCTCAGTCTTGTCAACATAGATCAGCAACAAATCTCCAGGGTTTTAGGCAGAACTCTTTCCCAGCACCACCTGGCAATGCCGGAGATTCTCCCTGGCACCTTCTGCATGCAAAGCATGTCCACATACGGCTGAGCCATGGCCCCTCCTCTCCCTACCTGAAGCTTTCTTACCATGTTGCATCCAGAGAAGGTGGTTGGTTCAGTATCAAGTCATTGGCTACTCTGATTTTTAAAGATTAATACATAAGAGGGGAGAATAGTGTTGATTTATATTCTAATACTGGCCAGGATCTGACACAAGCCCTAAGCACAGTAGATTCACTTGGAAGCAGTGACCATAGCAAATCATGTCAAATCCAGTATTTACACACACACGAAACTTCAGACAAGTTGCAATGTTTGCATCCCTGTCTCCTACCAGTACCTTTCTTCAGAGTTCCAGTGAGCCTCAGTGCTTCCCCTACAGGTAACCAACTACTAGAGTAGGTGATCACCTGGCCTGTAGGCTGCAGGCCAATGGAATGAGCATGATTGCAGCAAGCTTTCCCAAGGGTGCCGACCCATCCCAATCTCTTCCCGAGGCTGGTGGCCTTGTGAGAGCTCACCTCAGCATGCCCCACACCACTCCACCTAACAAGCGCAAAGGCTCCCCTGTCTGATTGGTCAGGATTATGCATCTCTGTCAAGGTGGTCCAATCGCCACTGTGGGTTCTTATCTGTGCCCTGAAAAGAGGCCCAAGTGGAGGCATTCGTGCCCCCTCCACCTAGGAAGACAAGCTACATCTGCCGGGAAACAGAAGAGATGTCTGCCGGGTGGTGGTAGCATGTGCCACTGGGGCGCCCACTTTGCAGCACAGCACCACTTCTGGCTCCCACCCCTCCGGCCTAGCACTGTCACCATAGCAACTATTCACAGTCCAGCAGGCATGGAGGAAGTGTGGAGGCATGCCATCTTGTGGCTGCCAGTGCATGAGACTCTTGAGAAGGTGACAATGCTAGCTGGGGCTGCCCTGGAGTGCCTAGTTCATGAGCTACTACCCCATTTCCCCAAAAATAAGACCTCACTGAAAAATAAGCCCTAGCATGATTTTTCAGGATGCTCGTAATATAAGCCCTATGCCAAAAATAAGCCCCAGTTAAGAACGTCAGCCAGACGGACACATACAATACATCCATTGAAACACAATTCGGGGTTTGGAGAGTTATGATGATGTTCCGGAAGAAGATGGGATGATTGTGTTTGAATAAATGTAGACTGTTGTACGTGAAAAAATAAGACATCACCTGAAAATAAGCCCTAGTGCGTCTTTTTGGAGCGAACATTAATATAAGACCCTGTCTTATTTTCGGGAAACATGGTACCACAGCCTGGAGGATGGCCTGCTGCAGGCCGAGCTGCTGAGCTGCCTTGTGCACAACATCGGTGTCAAGCATGTCCTAGTGGCTGAGGTCAGCACCAAGGTGCTGCGCCTGCGGGAGCAGTGTGAGGCTACTGGTGCAAAGGAGACTGGGCCAAGTGTCCTCGTTCAGGCTGAGGACTGGCAGCGGTACTCCCTCATGCTGTGCTACTGGGGCCTCTTCCAGCATCTTGGCCAGCAGGAGAGTGGCCTCTGCTTCCTGCTGGGCCTCCCCCAGGACCTGCTAGAAGTCCTGGCAAACAGGGGAGGCCAGGGAACCGCATGTGAGGCTGAGCCCTGGAAGGGTTTGCAGCAGTGTGCACGTGTTGAGGAAGCCACTTCTTTTCCTCTTGTGTGCTTCCTGCAGCAGGCTGTCAAGCAGAAATTCAACTGGTCCGATTTCCGGATAGCTTTCTCACTTTTTGAAATCACCTGTTTGCCCTGCTTTTTTGGCTTTCCTCTTGCAAGGCCTCTTGCAATATTCCTGAATGCTCGGCTACTAGATAGACCTTTGCGCATTGAGCATACAGGTCTGTAAGGGACTCTGTAGGCACATTCATCCAAATACAATGACAGAGTCCCTGTAAATGGGATCCCTGATAGTCGTACATACAAGCAGGCCATAGCTACATTGGGCTACAAGTTGCCAGATGTCTGGTTCCTTTCCCCCTTTCAGCAGAAATGAAGGCCACCCACAGAAAAGAAATTTGTCATGTTAAGCTAGTTATGCTGAGGCAGCAGCATGTCCCTTCTTCCAACTACAAAATGCTAGCAGCAAAAGCAGGAATGTCTCTCTTTGGCATACAGGATGAACACAGAAAAGAACTCTCCAGACAATGAGATAATCAGTTTTATCCCTTAAGTTTCCCTGCCCCATGACTGTGGAAACTCAGAAGTCCTCGCTGAGCCATTTTCTTTCTTTTTTCTCAATGGACTTGCTAACATTCTATGTCTCAGCATCTCCTAGGTTTGGTTCCTCTCCCCTACCTTCCTTTTCTATTTTATATTGTAATTTACAACCTTTGACATTTTTTGAAATCTTGGGAATGCTTCTCTATGTAGAAAGCTTTCCCTTGTTTTGGGGATTGCTTATTTTCTCTTCTACCCTGATAGGTTCTTGATCACCCAAGTTTGCTTCTAGAAAAAAATGACAGAAATGCCAAGGTATTAAATGCCCAGAAAATTCTATGCAGGCATATGATGGGTAATAGCTGAATTCAAGTAACCAATATCATTGAGTTAACTGAAGTCAAGCATTGAATCAGAACATCAAGGACAAGATTCTGACCCTTAGCCGTTCGGCACAGATCAATAGAGGTTAGTCACAGATCAGCCTTTATCTTCATATATGGCAGCCACAGATACAGTGGTACCTTGGCTCATGAACTTAATCTGTTCCAGGACTCTGGTCATGACCCAAATTGGTCGTGAGCAAAGTCAAATTTCCCCATAAGCTTCAATGTAAATAACGTTAATCCATTCTGTAATAATTTTTTTTTAACCATAAAAATTTGAAGCAAAGTGACAAAGAACAATAAAGTTCGTGGCATCTCCCCCTCCCCCTCCCCACAGCATGAGATACCACTGTATGTGCACACTCTCTAGGGTAACCATTAAGAGTAACAATATATTAGGCACTATTTATATTTCTGTGATCAAATGGACAACTATATTTTAAAATGACAGCATGGAAATACTTACTTTCTCTAAAAGCCTTGCAATAGCCCAGAAAAGACAACAAAAAGAACAGGGCACACAGCAGGTCTGCTCTGCCAACAATCCCTGCAATCTTAAAAAAAGAAATGGAGACGAATTTAAAATTAACAAAAGGAAAGTTTTCTCTCAAAGGAAGTTGCATGGAAAAGTAATCCCTTTATTATAGTAATTCTACTACGCCAGTAGCACCAGGACTCTAGCAGCTGTGAACAAACTTGTGTGAATTGCTGGTCTTAGTCTGAGAGAATTAATCAAAGGCTTCATCTACACACATTGAAATGAATGAGCTTTGGGAACACTGAACTGCCATAAAAAATACTGAGGATGTTCAGCTCCCTCAAACATTCCAAGTCAAAACAGAGTCCCTGAAAGAATTGAGGCCCTGGATCAAGCTGACTGCCTGTGAAGCAAGTTCTCCATCCTGGCCTAAACTGTGACAGGAGCGGATGTCTGCCTAAAAACCCTATTTCTGCAGAATTATGGCTGACACAATCATTTCCCCCTCCAAACTGGCCTCAGCAATGGGTGGCACAGGTCCCCTTCCTTGTGCCACTGGCAGCCTCAACAGAAGTTAACGCAAATGCCCTAGACCTCAGAAGGAAGAGCTGGGCAGAGGTGGGAGAAGTTAATGACATTAGCTGAATCAGTTGACACAAGGAGCCACAACTCTTCCCCCAGGACTCGTTTGAGGAGAGAAGAGAAGCTGCCATCCTTATCTTTTCTCCACAAAAAGGGAGACAGGAGGGAAGAGCTTGGCTCAGAAAAAGGGTGGTTTGGGGGCCTGGTGGAATTCCAGGTCGTCTATTTCCTTGCCAACAGTGAGACTGAAGGATCCTGAGCTCTCTGCTCCCCAGAGCACTCAGGATAGACTGACCAGATTCATACCCCAAGAAGTGCCAGGCAGGCAGCAGGAGGCTTTAAGAAAGCCAAAGGAGCAAGGGAAAATATGGAAAAGGGTGGGGAGAAGATTTTATTTGTAGACATTTTTACGCACCCCAGAACAGCAACAAAGAGCATATCTCCTCAGTCTACTGAACTATGCTCAACACTTACTGAGAATTAACCCTTAGAAAAATTAAAAAGCAAAGTATACATGTGACACACACATTTGTATTTCTACAACCATTCCTTGTGATTCTATCTACCAACACAAAAGTACCCCTCTAGAAATGGATTCTTTCTAATAACCATTTGTCAGAAATGCCATTGACATATAATACTAAGACTGTTGCTATTTCAAAACCAGTTTAGTGATGAGAAAGGAACTGTAAGCTTGTTGTGCTACGATAGCAGCCATTAAATAAATTTGATGCAAAGACTTTCATCAGATTGTTATGAATTTTAGATTGTCTTGCATTATTATTCAACACTAAATTCGCTGTTTCATTGGACAGAATATTGCTGAGAGAGGCATATCAATTTATGAAGTAGCACTGAAGTTTTACTTTTAAAGAACAAATCTTTCAAGAGTCCATTAAACGGTCTGAGAGCACCAGATACTATAGTTTTACTGACGTAGCAACCGCTGACCTGGTCAGCAAGCTGAATGGGAGACTACCAAAAGCTGCATGTACTAGTTGCATTTGCATGTGAATGTATTATAGAGAAGGTGAAGAAGGGAAAAGGGAGAGAGCTACCTGAATCCTGAGACAATGAGCTTCCCATCCTCCCCTTGCATCATGCAACAAAGGGACCTCATAAGGAATACATGTGGCCCATGGATTGCATGTTGCACACCCATATTCTAGTACTTTAATTTATGCCATTTTATTTTTATTTATTTATTAAAACATTTCTATACCACCCCATTCGCCAAAGCCTCCGGGCGGCTCACAACATAAAATAAAATACAAAAATAATAACAATATAAAAATAACAATATAAAATAAATAACAATATATTTTGACGAGAAAGTAGTATTGGCTGCCCAAAATGTTGAATAAACTTAAATAAGTGACTTCCTACAGCTTCTGTAACAGCAATCTCTCTCTGAAGGATTAGTCATTTGCAAAATGGCAACTGTCTCAATATGAATAAATGTTTCAGAAGAATATCAACAGCGATTATATATAAACGCACACACACGCGCACACACAAACAAGCAAAGGATTGCATATAAAACATGTATTTGCAGGGATAGGGAAGATTAAGTAGTTAATGGAACCCTGTTAATGGAATCATGATGTTCCTGAGCACTTTTTAATACCTGAGTCATTAGGTACTTACACATTCAGTGTGCACGGGATGTACGGCAAACAGCAAAGCAGCTAGCAGGGATGATTTGGGGACAAAGTTTAGTCTTCTTCCTTTATTGGTATACTGCAGCCCACCCAATAATATTGAGAAGACATCAACAATGAAGACAGAGATAGTGCAATGGAGTATTATGTTGATGAGATGAAAGCCCAATGGGTGGAAGCCTCCAGCTAAAAGGTAATTAATCCTATACGAGGGGGGAAAGCAAAACACTGACGTTAGAAATCAGGATAGATTAAGTTCAGATAAATTAAACTTTCTGGAAGGGATTTTGGAAGCACTCATGGAGATGTCAGTATCCACAAAAGGTAACCTATCTACTCTTTATACATACATACCAGAAATAAAAGGAATGTTATGAAGAGAAGTCCAAACGTGGAAATGGAAGCACCTTGGAACATCCTACTTGATACCTGGTTTGCTGATAAGACTAGAAAGCAGACTCCTCCTCCTCCTCTTCTTCTATAGACTGAATCCCGCTTTTGCCCCTCTATTCTTGCCATTTCCATACATTTACTTCCCACTTCCTTCTCCTTCTTGTTTAACTGTTCCTCTCTATATGTACCTTCTTTCTCCCAACTCTCCAATAGCCTAGAGAAAGGCCAGGCAACATTCCATTGTTGCTGTTAAGAGCCCTATTCCCTTGAAGATAATATGTTGAGGCCACAAGTTGGCAGTAAGCAGGACTGAAGCCAGGAGTTGGCAGGGCCACAAGTGGGTGAGCCACTTTTTCTGTTGCCCTATCTTTCATCTCCTTCTTCCTTCCTGTTCATCTAGTTTGCCCTCGCCAAATGTCTGAAGTGATTGCATGAAGGGTGCTTTAGAAATTAGGATAAAGACTACATGAAATTAAGCAGAGGGCTGAGGTAGCCCACCCTTGCCCTAGCGGAAGGACTGGCATGGAAATAATCTTGTCTGACATCCAAGAGAACCTCTGCCACACAGTGCAGATCACTGGTGCAAAAATGCACACCTGGTGGTGAGATTCTGCATGCACACGGTCCCATTCCAGCCCTTGGGGGTTCAAGTGCTATTACCTTTTTCCTAAATACCAATTCTTGCCTGGTTCCTGGCTTTTTCCGCTCTAAAATTTGGCAAGTCTTTCCTGTGGCTTAGTTATATATCCAGTGGATCATTATTTATCACCAACAACCCTGGATGGCCCTTGTATTTCATATTCAACAATGAGTCAGAAGGGGATAAAGTGAGATACCTACATGAACTCCCTCCCCTTTTTTTTGAGGAGGAGTGGGAAAGGAAGAGAACTTTATCCATCCACTCCACATATCTGTGCCCTATGAGACTTGCATGTGCTCCAAGATTCCTATTTGCTGGTCTTTCTTCTGTTGCCAGATGAAATTAGGATAATAGAAAGGAAACTAAGAAAGAGTACACAGTTCTACAGACTACTGTCCCTGATTTTTCCCTCCCCAAAGAGATTTGTCATGCTCCCTCATCACTGCTAAACTGGGAAACATTTCTAAAGAAAGTTATGCATCAAAGGGAAGGAAGGAGCAGGAAACCTGTGACAAAGGATTGTGAAAGGGGCATTGAAAAGTGAGTTCACTTTTTAGCATAAGGCAACCTTTACTACTTCATTGCTCTGTCATTTCCAACACCTATGATTCTACTCGTAGAACAGGTACCATTCCACAGCCCCCTCACTCTTTTCCTACAACTTCCCTTTTCACTTACGTTCAGGCTTTTTGGAAAAAATGTATTTGCCCTTAAGAGGCTTCCATTTACAAACAACAGATTTAAACATGCCTGTGCCAAGAGGCTTTTGACAAAGGAGGCACAATTCCATGGCAAACAGTCTCACCTCGGAGCCTGCCTTGAGTCCACGGAAGCTCTGATCCCATCTGAGGCAGTGTGAAGCAAAGCAAACCAAAAGGCTTCATATCCACCCCAGAGTCTTGGGAGACCTCCTGGGTGGGTGAGGTTGCTCTTACTTCTACTATCTGACACATCTTTGCAACTTCCCCAAGTTGCCCATAACGCAAAATGTTAGGTGGTGGGGCTTTTAACTCCAATCAACAGCACTCTCAGAAAAGAGCAGAGGCTCCCAGCCACTCCATCCTGTCCCCCTTCCGCACTTGTCCTCCACAGCACTACACGTGCCACTAAGAAAGCCTATGGAGAAGGTTGCCAGCTGCCCCACCTCTCTCCCCCATGGTTTCTTTGGAGACAACGATGGCACTGTAATGACTCAGGACCCAACCAGCTGCTAGGTAAACTTGAAAGTAAGTGCTTGTGCACTGAGGAATATAGCAGGTGCCCCCCCCCCTTCCTCCTTTTGGGCTTACCTGGTGCTAGTACCGTAGTGTCACAGAGCTGATGTCTATCTAAGCCACCAAACACCAAGCCACCAAGCCAATGCGGTAGGTTCTAAGGTAAGTATTTTTTCTGGGTACAGCGCTGGGTAGATATGGCAACAACTTGTCATCTAAGTAAGCCTGACTATGTGCTTCCAGAGGTTACTGTGACTTGGAAATGAATCACAGCTACTTCTGACATCTAAGTCAGGGTCCTGCTGTCCCTGTCAACAAGGAAGAAGCATAACAGGATGCTCCACTGTGAAGGAATCTGGAACTGAGCCACATATTGGGAGCCTACAACAAATTCCACATGTATGGGCAGTGTACTCAATGGTTATAGGATGGTTTGTGTGCATAAATGAACCACCTCTCTCTGCTAAAGGCAGCTTTTCAAGAAATGCCACTTCTCCTTAATGCCATTCTGCTGTACTTTTGCTTGTTTGTTTTAAGGAAAAGCCATCATAAGCATAACCTGAAAATGTCTCACCTGAAAGTTAATACAGTAAGCGGTCGATAGGATTTGTGGCTGGTATTGCTACTGAGTTTGCTTCCCCAAAAGTCATGATGCCACAGATCACCAAGTGGGGTTTCTGCCCTGAGGTCCTGAAACAACACAAGTTGGTAACATCAACAACATGACTGAAAATCACTGCTTTGGCTGACATAAACTGAGAGAACAGTTCTGTGAGTAACATGTCAGAAGGCTTTTCTTACCTGTTGTTTATACTAGCTGTGCTCACCATGACACATCAAGTTACCATGCAAATATGCTAGGCAGTGAGGAATCCTCGAGGAATGGCCAAAGTTTGCATGACAAAGGACCATAACTTGTTCTCCCCCTTTGGTCCTCCAGCCTGTATGTATCCCAGGGTCTTCTGTGTAACCTCCCCCTCCCCCTCCCTGGAGACCCAAGGAACTGTTGAAAAGACATTGTCAGGTCAACACTTAATATCCACAGGCTGCCAAGAGGATATATTGCCCCTCCACTTTGGTGCACCTACTTTCACTGCTTGCTCCCCTTTACTGTTGCATTTCACTTGACAGCTAAGCAAGTGGTCCCTGGCAACTGTGTGCAAATTAGCCTTATGTTGCCTTACCTTGTCAATCTGTTACCTATCCAACTTCAGCTCTCCCACTGACAGCCATGCAGGGAAATTGACCAGCACGACCACACATCTCAGATGGCCATTAAGAACGCATTTGGAAAAATTACCACCACCAAACATATTTGCACAATTTTCTGGGGATGAGGAAAAAATAAAGGTGCCAAACTGGTGTAGGTTATTCCAAAGTGCACTTGGCATGAGTGGCTCACTAGCCAATTCCTGCAGCCCATGATGAAATTGCTCTCCCAGGTTTGGATGACATGGCAAGCCATTGTGGGTCCGGCAACCCCTAGAATGAGACGTAGGCTTTCAAGTAAGCTTGCTCCCCACAATATACAGCACACTGCAGGAAGTGGCCTTCAGTTGGGTAATATGACAACCCATCCACAACAGGTTGTCATGTCATGCACACCCACCCACTCACTATTTATTTATTACATTCTCCCTGCCAATCCTCCAAGGAATTCAGAACAACATTTAAAGTTGTCCTCCATGCCTCTTCCCCACAAATAGTTTCTATTTGAACCTGTGTCTCCAAGGCCCCAGCATCCAATAGTCTAACCACTACACCCCCGCAGTTTTAGATGTAAAACCAATAATGCAAACCCAGCATTTACATGAGAAAGCACTGAAGTAAAACAAAACCACATATGTGTTATTTGATGCTGTGGATTTGGAACAGGGGTACCATAAACCTTTTATTTGATGAGAACATGGGGGTTAGCCTTTTTCATTTCAAGTTCTTAAGGAGTACACAAAATGCACCACTCTTTTCACTGAACCAAACCAGTGCTTAAGGAATTAATCAGTTTCTACAAACTGATTTGTATCTACAAACTGACAGAGAAAGGGAAGCATGTATTATGTGCCTATTATTTTAAGAAATGCCTCCCACTATTTCCATGCCCAAAATGTGCTCAGCGTTTTATACGTATGTAACCTAAGCCTCCTACAAAATCACCATCATAAGCACAATATTGCACAATCTAACTGAATTCATAATGTTAAGCAAATTTTAATGAGAAAAGATTTAGGTTAAAACATTATAACATAATGTTCACTTGACATAAATTTAGTGTCTTTGATTCAGTACTGTTTTCACTGTGAGCTGCATCTTGGAAATCAGGGATGTGCGTGCTGCACATTTCCATTTCCGCCATTTTTGCCACCAGTAAACCATGACAAAAACCACAGTGCTAATACTGCAGATGGCAACTAGTGATCAACTCCTATAAGAAATCCCCACTGAGGCGCTTTCCTAATTTTCACACAACACTGCTAAACTATCATTCTTCATTTTATTTCCGACATGTTAAACTTATAGGTCAGCCCAATTTGTAATGATCTTGAGTAAGATTAATAGAAGCAGCATAGGAGAAAGAAATTTCATTAGAAAGGAAGAATATCTGTTGCCAAGATGAGACAGAAAATTAGAAAATGAGATTGCTATTAAGAAAGTGCCCCCTCTTTTCAGAAGTGCATCTTCGTAGGGCTCTGATGCATTAATTCAGTCTATCAATCCTCCACAGTCCCCAGGTCAGTCGTTCTTCCACCTGTAGCATCCGTAAGGCTTGTGTAGACAAGAAGCAACATTGCACATGTACCACAGAGCAAGGCTTAGAAGTGGCTGTCAGCCATCACTTAGGCCAGCCATTCCCAACTTGGTGTCCCCCAGATGTTTTGGATAGCAACTCCCACCAGTCCCAGACAACAGAACGAGTATAGTCCAAAACACCTGGAAGGCACCAGGTAGAGATGCTGGTCTAGACATTCTCTCCACAATGGCCAGGGCGACTTATTTTTTTATATTGGCCAGGGTGACTTATTTTTTATATTGTTAATTTGTTTTATATTTTTAATATATTATATTTTAATTTATGTTGTGAGCTGCCCCGAGGCTTCGGCCAATGGGGCGGCATAGAAATGTTTTAAATAAATAAATAAATTTCTTTGGAAAGACAATGGCATTCTCTCAAGCCCGGTTCACATGCCAAGTACCTTAGTAACACTTAATCACAGGAACATTGCTCCCTCTGATGGTTACAGAGCTCGTCTACTGTATGCTATGTTCTACACCATGGGTCCTCAAACTATGGCCCATGGGCTGTATCTGGCCTGCCATGCTCATTTATCTGGCCCGCCTCAGAGGTTTTGGACTCGCTCGGATGATCTCCAAGTGAGTCCAAAAGCTCTGAGCCGGTGCGGGTTTTCTCAGAAACTGAGCAGAGAGCTGGTGCATGCACCAAATTGCAAAAGCAAAACTGTGCGTGCGCCAGTTCTCCCCCCCCCCCCGCCGCCCCCACTGCACACATATACAGAGCGGGAATACGGAGTGGGAAACAAAGGGGGGCGGACAGAAGAGAAAGAGAGATGAAGACGAAGAAACTAAAAAAGGATTGAAGGTAAGAAAAATAATTATGCAAGTCCAGGGGAGGCCAGGCAACACGGCCTTCTCCAAGGGAGCAAGCCACCACCACCGCCTCGCCGAGCCCAGGGTGGACAGGCTGAGGCAGAGCGGCTTACTTGGAGAAAGCCGCAGGGCTCCTGTGCCTCCACCATGGCCTTCTCCGAGCTAGCGAGCAAACATTTTTTAAATTTTTAATTAATTTTTAAATGTTAATTTTTAAATTTATTTTAATTTTAATTAATTTTTAAATTTATTTTACTTTAATTGTTTTTTAATGTGCAGTGTGCATAGGAATTCATTTTATTTTTCCACCTATAGTCCAGCCCCTCAACAGTCTGAGGGACAGTGAACTGGCCGGCACCCTGTTGAAAAAGTTTGAGGACCCCTGTTCTACACCAATAAGGTCCTTTATACACCACTAAGAAAAGCAATTCTGGCAATACTGGTTTTAAGTTACTAATTGCTGCTGCCATATTATGATTTGAATGCCAGACTTTTTTTTTTTTGTTAATTTTGCTTTCTTTTTTCTTTCCTCCAGTGGTTATTTTAAGCAGTTCAGTATATTGAATGTCTAATTACATGTCCCCCTTTCATCTCATTTTATCTTAGTTTTTAGCTTCATGGTTTATTCTATTCTATTTACTGATGTTGTTATTGTTGATTTTATACTGTGTGTTGTTAAATTTGTTATAAATTGTGTTGTCTTAATTGCTGTGCATATGCTGTGAGCTGCCCAGAGAGCCAAATGGCTAAGGGGCGGCATATCCATCCATCCATTCATCCATCCATCCATCCATCCAACCCTCCAACCAGCTTCATGCTCTGGCACCCCACCCCCAATGCTTTCACCTACTGCCGAAGTGCCATGTAGACAGATTATCATAGAGCAAGGTTTGCCAGCTACCATGAAGACATCACACTCTGGGCTTCAGCACACAGACTACAAGGATTCGGCCCAGCACCTCCGCAGACGTATCCCAGGAAAGCACAGGAACGGATTCTGAGTGAGGTGAGGGTGGCGAAGTACCACATGCTGGTGAGGCACCAAGGGTGAGGGAGCAGGGGACTGCGGAGAACAAAGAGGACAGGGCAGAGGTCCCCTTTGTTTTACCTAACCTTTCAGATGACAGCTAGGTCTTCCAAGCCAATGGGAATGGGGGCTCCTCACAAAGGAGAAGAGACAGGAATAAGAGACCCAAGAGTGAGGCATCGGATAAAAACAAAGTGACAATACAGGATTGCTGGATGCTCAAACTTGCCACTCAGACTTGCTACCTGGGAGCTTGGTAGGTTTGAGGCAGGATCCATTCCCTAGATGGAGGCCAGGGTTCAAAACTGGGACTTTCTACAAGAAAAAAAAAAGCATGCATTCTATCCTTGAGCTACTCGTTTTATTAGGTATTACAAAGGAAAAGGCAAAAAGTTGGAAGGCCGTTCTGGTATTTCATAAATCCGAATGTTTGGCAGTTGTACTGCTTCATCCTATACCATTTACTCAGAAGTAAGTCCTACTTTATACAATGGGACTTGTTGTAAATGTACTTGAGCTTATAATTTTACATGTTCCTCCATCAAATACTTTCCTTCCTACATATTTTTGCTATAGCAGAAGCATATCAATATATTTGTTCTGTACTAATAGAAATTTTAGCCATAATGGAAAATGGCAGACAACCTCATTACATTTGCAAAATAGAATGCAAACAATAAAAATTATTCATGCATGGTGTCTAGAGTAGTATGATGCAGAAACAATTTGTGCAGCTTTTATCCATAGGCTTAAAAAAATCTTCAGTAAATAAGAAAACATGTCAAAGCAAACAGAAGATTCAGAATCACTTAGAAATTAAATTGTGGCCTCCTTGCAGAGAGCACTTAATCTTTTATTTGCTTAAATGGAGGCAAGATTTTGACCCTGGACAATTGAGTCAGTGACCTCCTATGGTAACAATGCTCTGTTGAGTTAAGCAGACATCAATGCAGCTTTATCAGGCAACTCAGCCACTGAATCATGACTGGATTTCACCTTCTTATACAATACCAAACAACACCTAATTCTCAGTTATATTGGGGGTTACATCTGAGAAGTC